GTTACAATTATAGTATAGTTCAATACAGTTAAAACACTTTACAATAATTTCGAATACATCCTTAAACAATATTTATAGAGATTTATATTTTATACGATAGACTGAACAATAAATGACTACTTTAAATGCTAAAATTATTGGGATAAATTGTTATTATGGTAGCAGGTTTAACGGGATATTATTGTTGTACCTATGATTTTGATGATTACAAAACACATTTGAGTGACTAATTGATTTATTTAAGTGTGTAGTTAAATTGCCAATATATTGCAAAGTAAGCAAAATGAGATTGCATTAAAAAGGGCTCAAAAGGTAAAAATATGCAGAGAGCCGGCTTAAGAAAATTGCAGCCGACTCTGGGAAGCAAAAATGCAGAGAGCCGGCTGCAGATTTTGTTGAGCCGGCTCTACAGGCCAGAAATTCAACTGCTGTTTTGGCGCGCGTGGAAAATGGAAGTAGAGCCGGCTCCCACTTTGTAGCCGGCTGTGAGGGTGCATTTAATGCACAACGGTTAAGTTATTTGAAGATTATTTAATATGTTTAAAGTTGGAATCCTAAAGCCGGCTCTAGGCTTTGCAGTCGATTGTGGAAGAAAACAAAATGTGCAGGAATCCCACAAAGCCGGCTGCAGAAATGGTGAGCAGGCTGTATAGAGCCAGCTCTAGGAAGTTTAGCAGGCTCTCCTGACAATCCTGCAACTCGAGCTTTGCGTCCTGTAGAGTATTAAATGACCCCCAATGGCTAGTAACGGCTATTTTCGACCATGGGGTTATAAATATGGTTGGTAGAAGATCTGAAGGAGTTTTAGAGAGCATTGTATTGAATATCTTTACCTACCTACATGAGCTTTAACTTGAGTTTTTGATCTTTGAGAGATCTTTACTTGTAATCCTCTTCTTGTTCTATTTGTGAGTGATCTTGGGGGTGTGATTAACCCTTCAAGAGTGATTTGTAGAGAGGATTCATGGGGTTTAAGTGTAAAGGGGTGAGATTTGAGAGAAACACCCTTCTTCTTGTAAAAGGATTGAGTGGCTCCTTTAAGCCACCCTTGTTGTTGTTAGCGGAGAGTGTGAAGGAAATCCTTGGTGAGTGAAGCCAAGGTAGAGGACTAGGCTCCAAGTGGTTGG